TGAGATCAATCAATCAAGAAATCAAAAATAAAAATAAGCTTATTTAGAAAAACTCTTAAATATTTTCTCTAAAGTTTTAAGTAATTGTTTATTTTACATAAGCAACCTGCACTTGTAAATAGCAAAAAACAAATTTAACATAGCTTATTTAAGATTGAAAATAGTCAAGATGGAAAATTAAAGTAAGTTTTGAATAAATAAATGCTCAAAAAATTCAAAGATAATTTATTACAAAATGCACATATTTTATCCCATAACTTGTTATTAGAGAAATAATCTCTCCTTGATTACTTATTTCTAGATTATGCCTTATAAGATGGTAGATAAATAAAAAAAAATAATATTATTTCAAATAGTCGAGAGAAACTTCTATTCTTTTAAGTTTACTTACCATAAGACAAATTTGTGAAATATTGGAATTTATTTAGCATCCTATTTAGTTTTTTCATTTTGTGGTTTTCACCATTCATTATATCTTTTTAATTATTACATAATTCAAGTGTCTAATAAACAATAGTATTTATTTTGATCTTTTTATTGATCGATGGATTGATTACATGTAATAAAGCATATCTCAAATAAGGAGAGGTAATATAATTGATTTATAAAAATAGTTAGTAATTAATAGAAAATAGATAATAAATAATTATTTAAGAAATTAAGTACTTAGTGATTTTTTAAATCTTTTAATATGGATTTTGATGTATAATGGAATAGAATAGTTTTAAATAATTGAAATGTTGTCTATTTTTTAGATAATCATTATTATTAATAGTCTTTATAAAAAAATTAATAGTTTTGTTGATTATTTATATTTGAATGGTAAATTAAGTGAAGTATTGGATCTAATATTTCTAATAATTTCATTATATTATTTTGTTCATATTATTGGATGTTATTGGCATTATTTAGCAGTATTAGGTGAGTAATTAAATGAAATTTCATGGATACAGAAATATTCACTTGAAGATCAATCTTATTTAATTAAATATGATTATGCAGTCTATTGGGCTACAATGACAATGGTAACTGTTGGTTATGGTGACATTACTGCTTCAAATCCTATTGAAATTGTGTTTTCAAATTTTACTATGTTTATTAGTAGTTTTGTATTTGCTTATTCAATGAATTCTATAGGAATTATTATTAAGAATCTTTATGATGAACGAAATTTATGCAAGTAAAGTATATCTATATTATTAAAAGAAGGTAATTAATTTTAATTAATGCCTACATGAAGAATAATTTGGTTGATGATTCTATATCAAATAGAGTTAGAAATTATTTAAAGAACCAAGTTGATCATGAATCTAAGAATAATTAAATGGAAGTATCTATCCTATTAAGAATAATAGGCTTAATAAATTATAGATAATCTACCTCATGGTCTTAGAGATGATATTTACACAAACATAAAGACTAGAATATTATAAAATATGAAATTATTAGTAAATAACTTCTCGAAATAGACACAATATTAAATAATTCATAAACTTGAATAAATTAATTTTATACCAAATGATGTTATTTATGACCCTGAAACATTAAATATAGATTAATATCTGTAAATATTATAATTGAATATAAATAGATATTATTTAGATTAAGGAACAGTTAGTCTAGTGGAATAGCGAACTTAGAAGTAAATCTAAGCATTTAAAGAAGGTGATACTTTGGGAGAACATTCATTTATAAATGGATTGACTTAAAAATTTAAGTTAATTAGTACAAGTTTCTGTTAATTATACAGAATATCTCGATAAGATTTTTTGAGAGTGCTTTAAAATAATTAAAAAGACAAAGAAATTTTCTATTCTTTATAAGATTAATTACTATATCTATCTGATTATAGTCTTATAAACAAGAAATGTAATTTATGTAATAAATTTGACCATTAAAATTGTGATTGTTTCATAATATCATATAAACCTAATTTAGAAAAATTAGTTAAAATGTCTGAATTCTTATTCCAATCAAGAAGTTAATTCGATAGAAATTAGCGTTAAAAACTTAAAGTTATAAATTCAATTTAAGTACTATTTTAAATTATTAAGGGAATTTAAAGTACAATTTTATAATTTTAATAATGTGAAATAACAACTAATTAGAATGAATCTAACACAATTATTAGTGGAACTAAAAGAATTAAATAGTTTTCCACTTAAAGATAAAGTGATAATAAAATCGAATAGCCAGAATTATCTAATCCAAGTGACTAATCTCCTGATGTATAAATAGATAAAATGACACATCGCAAACCATCATCTAATTTTACTGGAAAATTTAATATATAAAATCTAAAAAGTATGGATAATAAAGATGCTTAAAGAAAGATATCAATAGCTATTCTTAAAGAATAAACATTAAATCAAGAATACACTAGTTAATAAATAATTTAATTAAGATCAATTAAAAATTTCTCTAATACTGCTATCTTAGAACCTGAAGATAATAATAAATTAATAAAATTTATAAATCTTGATATTGATAAAATCTATGAATTTTAAAATTATTTACCTTAAAATAATTTTTAAAGTGTTATCTTAAACTACAATAAATAAAAACTTAAATTTATACCAGTTTACTCAAAAAACATGAATAGGTCTTTGAAATATACATTTTATTATAAAATAGCCAAATTAGCATGTTAAATGAGAATGATATCTGCTCCAATTACACGTAGATTATTAAAATGTCATTAAATAAAAAAACCTAAATGATTTTTGAGTTAATTTCTGATGATAATATTATGAATATAAATCAGAATTATATATTATTAAAAACCATTTATTAATTTATAATAAATAATTTTAAGATTTAGAATAATTTTATTAAATATCTCTATATATATATTGATTTTATGGGATTTGTATTGTATAATGATTAGAATAGAGTATTTCTTATTGATATGAAATTTTAATGAATTAATATATAGTTGTTTAAAAATTAAAAATTATTTACCCTCCTTTAAATGTTTGAAAAAAAAGAAAAAGAAAGAATTAATAATAATTTGAAAAATTAAATGTTTACTCCACCAAACTTTGCTGCTCATTCTGCCTTACATAAAATAACTAAAATCATGGCTAGAATATTTTAGTTATATGATAAGTTAAAAATTGAAAGTACAATAGAAATACCTAAGTCAAATTAAGTAAGAATTTTAATTCAATTTAGAAATTAAGTAAAACACTAAAGAACCTTTATGTAATGAATCTAAATGATGAAACTCTCATCTTAGCTTTTTATTTTGTTGATTAAATAACTAAAAAGCTAAGAATTTTTCTTAACTTAGAAAATAGTACTGGATTATTAATTGGATCAATTATAATTGCTGATAAAATTCTAAATGATCAACCTAGAAATATTGAAAAATATAAATTGGCTAGTGGACTCAAAAAAGAATAACTTATTTAAATAGAAACATATTTTTTAGAAACTTTAGATTACAATCTATTTGTTTCTGAAGAAAATTTCTAAAATTACTATAAAAGAGTATAAGATTATTGATTAAATTTTTTACTCTTTTGTTTTCTACTTTACAAATTTTTGTTTGAGATTTATATTTTATTTATTAATTATATTTATTAATATTATAAATGGGTTGTCTTTTTGGAAAAAAATAATTAGTTAATTAAGAAAGTGAAATAAGTCAAGATATTTCAATAAAACTAGATTCAAGTGCTTTCAATATGCAAAATGAATCTAAATTCTTAGGTGATAATAATATAATATTTAAGGTTATCCATATTATTCTACATTGACAAAAAAATTAGGAGAGATTGTTCATTCAAAAGTAGCTGAATGGTCATAATATGAGAATGAATTAAATGATCACAAAAATAAATTCAAAAAATATATACAATTAATGGATGCTATTATGGATAATTAAGATGTATTGTAATATATTAATAATTTTGATCAGGAAAATTGAAAATCTTCCTGAAGAATTTAATAGAGATTTCAAACCTTGTCTTATTATTGATATTCAAACAGGCAATTTTAAGATTCAAGGAACTGAAACTTATTATTATGTTGTAATATCATTAGGAAACAATCAAATTAAAGAATAATTAACAAGTATTTAAAAGAGTTCTAAATAAATGGAATGGAATGAAGTCATCATATTTAATTTAGATGATACTAGTTTAAATAATCAATTTAAACTATAAATCAAATAACAAAATAAAGTTGGAGCAAAAGAATCTAAATCTGTTGGACATAGTATCACATTTACTTTTGAAGAATTAAAAGAGTAGATAATTAATGAGAAAATCATCAGACTAAAAGAGAAAGAAGATATTATTGGAAGTTTATAAATGAGGTAAAACATAGTCTATGTAGATGTTAATTGATACATGATGTCAAAGATTTTGCTTTATAATGGAAGAAAGAACTCATTTATAGAGGTTAACAGATAGATAGGATCTTATAAAAGAGTAAACTCAATTCAAATGACAATGATGTACAATTTCAATCTTTGATGTCATTTCATTCAAATAGATAACACAATGAAACTGTGTATGATTTATAATTTGAAGTTTAATGATATAAACAAACAATAATTAAATTCTTCTAATATATGTATCATTTATGAATACAATCAAGGAATATAAATAATTATTCATTTTGCAGACTAACTTTGATTTTATTATTAAATTAACTAAAATTGGTTTATAATTCTAATATAACTTTTTCATATTTAATTAGAATTAATGAATTTTGTTAAATATCAAAATATTAATACTTTGTTTATAAAGTTCATTAAAATTTATCATATTATTAGATGATCAGTAAAATATTTAAAAATTCTATATTAAAAATTATTGATAATCATTCAAGTTAGAAAATTATATAAAAAATTACAATGTCATTTTCATATGTACAGTACTTCTATTCTAAAGTGTTTTCTTAAATAATTATTCAAATTATGCATTAATTATAGAAGCTCTAATGAATTATTTACAATTATAATAAAATTCTCAAAAAGTACTAATTATCTGATGAATTAGTCTAATTCTAAAATAGAAAAACAAATCATATCTCCTAAACAATAATGTATACTTCCAAGTCTTTATTGTGATTACAGTGCAAGGAAAAAATAAAAATTAAAGACTTATTTTCGATAAGAATAAAGTTCTTCAATAAGTCCTAATAAACAGATTATCAAGACATAAAGAGATCTTTTGAAACAAATGGATTCTGAAAGAAATTCAGAACTTTATTCTTTTGAAGATGAAGTTAGCAGATCTTTTAAATTTTAAAGAAAGTCAAGATAGCATCAAAGAAATAAAATCTTGAATCAGCCAATTCAAAACAAAAAACCTTTGTTAACAGATACTACATAAATTGAAACAGATACTCCTTATTTTAAAGATAAAGAATCATCTTTTAGTTAATCTAATGATGAAAATGAGGAGAAAAATGAAAATAAAATTGATTTAAAACTTGAAGGAGAGACTGGAAAAGCATTAAAATAGATAAGCCATAAAATAAGTAATTTTATGTTTATCATTTTTTTCAGATCAAGAATTAAATAATTCATTTTATCATTTTATAAAAAAATCTGAAAAAATGAAAGATTTAATTCAAAATTTTCAGCAAAAAGACAATCTAAGTCCAATTCATTATTATTGCTTAAATGATAGCATATTTCCAAAAAGAATTGAATTAAATAAATAAGATGTTAAAGAAATTAATTTATCAGATTTAGGATTAACACCAAAATATATTCCATTGATTAGAAATTTATTAAGCTAAAAACGTGATAAAAATATCAAATCAATTGATATCAGTCAAAATAAAATTAATGAATGGTCATTAAAGTTATTAATTGATGTTTTCCCTTCAAAAGTCAAAACCATCAATTTATCTCTTAATTAATTAAACCGTCGAGGAGCAGTTCTTTTGTCTGAACATTTAAAAAACTTTGAAAAGTATAATACAATTATTACTCAGTCTGAGGTTCTTGAATTTAAAAGGAAATCAAATAGGTGATATAGGAACTGTAACAATTTTAGAAGCATTAAAACCAAGTTTGAAAATAAAAAAATTAAATTTATCAGACAATGCTATTTCTGATTCCATTGGCTATGAATTAAAAGAATTTATAATAAAAAATTAATCCTTATAAGTTATAAGTCTAAATTGGAATTAATTAGGCCCTATAGCTGGATTATTTATAGCAAAAGGATTAAATTATAATAAATCAATTAAGGTAGTTGATTTAAGTTATAATAAAATTGGATAGAGTGATAATAATTATGAATGTATTAAGGAATGGTGTTCATTGTTAAGTAATACATATACAGAATTGATTCATCTAGATCTATCTTATAATTAATTTAATGAGAAATAACTTTAATTAATTAATTATTCAATTTTAAAGAATTCTCGTTTATATGGATTACATGTTGAAGGAAATAAATGTTTGGCTCATGTAGATCCTTTAGGATTTATATAATTTCCATAGTAAATCAAAGGATAATAAAGTATGTAACCAAAACATTAAAATATTGATGGTGTTAATTTCATACCTATGTTAAATGAGAATGAAAATGGATCTGATTGTTGTTGGATTTGTTAAGGATGGATGGAATATCATTTTATTTATGAACCTGAACCAGAAGAATCTTAAACTGATTCTATTTATTTGCATTTAGATTTTTTAGAGTAAAACCATATGAGTATATTAGTTTCAAACCTATATCTATGATAACAAGTAAAGAATTATGGAAATAAATAAGTAATAAATTTAACAGTAATACAGTTTTGGAAGATTTAACAACAGGAGAAATAATTCATTAATTAAAATATGCTTTTAGTGCTGGTAAGATAATTACAATGACTGCTATAAATGATGCTTATACAGAAGATAATAAGATTAAGGATGATATGAAATCAATTTTATAAGAATTAAATTCAAAGTTTTTTTTCACTTCATATTAAATGTGTCCTCCTAACTAAAAAATACTTTATTTTTTTTCAAATCCAACTGGAAAAGGAATATTTATTAATCCAAGATTTCCAATAATATAATTAAGATCTAATGAAAATATTGAATTGATTATGGATAAAGAGAAAGTATTTTTTTATCCTGATGGATCTCAGATCTCATTATCTCAAGTAGATCAAGTTAATTATTTTTAAACTAAATAAATGTTTGTTATAGATTAAAAGAATTAATATAAACCTTTAGTAAAAGTAATTCCTAGATGTTTAGAAAATAAATACTTTTTAAAAAGATTTGCTGTTGATGCATCTAAACAAAAATCAAATTTAATTTATTGGTAAAAAGAGTAATCAGCCTTTAAATCTTATTAAGGAGACACTCAAGATGTTTTGGATGAATGTTTTTAATTTGATTGGACTTGTATGGGAATATAACATTTTCTAAAAAATGAATAAGAAGTAGAAAAAGTAATTGAGATTATGAGATCACATTATCCAAAACTAAAAGATATTTATAAATATTATTCAAGTTTTGGATATAATGTAAATAAATAATAAAATGGTTATTAAGTAGAAACATTCAATATTCCTCTAAATTTAATTTATGATCTAACCTAAGAATTACTACCTTAAGATATATAAATTGAAGAAGTATAATCTTAAGTTAATTAAATTAAATATAATTGTGATTCTAAATATATATATAATCCAGAGAAGGGTTTTGTTAGATATTAATTTATTGAATTTATTTTTAGAATAGCTTTATTAGTAACGAAATAAAAATAGAAACCTAAATAAATTGTAGATGAAGTTTATCGAATATTTTAAGTATTAACAGAAAGATTTGCAGCATTTGATAATTAATAGTAATGGAGAGAAGAACGTTTATGGACTAAAGAATGTGGAAATTTAATATATATAAAATAAGGTTTTATTTAAAGATTACATGATTATGTTGCATGTATTAAAAATAAGAAATGGACATTTAAATTAAAATGGATAGCATTAACAGAATTTATAGACTTTTGTAATTAAATGGGATTTCAATAATTTTTGAGTGAAACTTAATTAAAAATCATTTATAANAAGTAATAAATTTAATAGTACTGCAGTTTTAGAAGATTTAACAACAGGAGAGATAATTCATTAATTAAAACATGCTTTTAGTGCTGGTAAGATAATTACAATGACAGCTATAAATGATGCTTATACAGAAGATACTAAAATAAAAGATGATATGAAATCAATATTATCAGAATTGAATTCTAAGTTTTTCTTCACTTCTTATTAGATGTGTCCTCCAAACTAAAAAATACTTTATTTTTTTTCTAATCCTACTGGAAAAGGAATATTTATAAATTCAAGATTTCCAATAATATAATTACAAACTGCTGAAAATATTGAATTAATTATGGATAAAGAAAAAGTATTTTTTTATCCTGATGGATCTCAGATTTCATTATCTTAAGTAGATTAAGTGAATTATTTTTAAACTAAATAAATGTTTGTTATAGATTAAAAGAATTAATACAAACCATTAGTAAAAGTAATTCCTAGATGTTTAGAAAATAAATACTTTTTAAAAAGATTTGCTGTTGATGCATCTAAACAAAAATCAAATTTAATTTATTGGTAAAAAGAGTAATCAGCCTTTAAATCTTATTAAGGAGACACTCAAGATGTTTTGGATGAATGTTTTTAATTTGATTGGACTTGTATGGGAATATAACATTTTCTAAAAAATGAATAAGAAGTAGAAAAAGTAATTGAGATTATGAGATCACATTATCCAAAACTAAAAGATATTTATAAATATTATTCAAGTTTTGGATATAATGTAAATAAATAATAAAATGGTTATTAAGTAGAAACATTCAATATTCCTCTAAATTTAATTTATGATCTAACCTAAGAATTACTACCTTAAGATATATAAATTGAAGAAGTATAATCTTAAGTTAATTAAATTAAATATAATTGTGATTCTAAATATATATATAATCCAGAGAAGGGTTTTGTTAGATATTAATTTATTGAATTTATTTTTAGAATAGCTTTATTAGTAACGAAATAAAAATAGAAACCTAAATAAATTGTAGATGAAGTTTATCGAATATTTTAAGTATTAACAGAAAGATTTGCAGCATTTGATAATTAATAGTAATGGAGAGAAGAACGTTTATGGACTAAAGAATGTGGAAATTTAATATATATAAAATAAGGTTTTATTTAAAGATTACATGATTATGTTGCATGTATTAAAAATAAGAAATGGACATTTAAATTAAAATGGATAGCATTAACAGAATTTATAGACTTTTGTAATTAAATGGGATTTCAATAATTTTTGAGTGAAACTTAATTAAAAATCATTTATAATTTTGCAATGTAAACTCATTAGGATGAATTAACTTAAGATAGACATTTAAGAATGTCTACTGTTGAGTTTACAGAAGCTTTAGCTAGAATAGCTGAATTTATTAGTCCAAATGAAAATGATATGAATAATATTTCAATTAATAGATTGATACTTCCCTTACATATTAAATTAGAAAACCTTTTAACTCACATTTTTATTACTTTAAGAATTCTTAAGTATTTATATTTATATATAAAGAGTGAATAACTTTGAGAATTTTAGTATATACTTTAGTTTAAATCCAATTCCATTTTTACCAAAAGTTCATGAACTTTAATAAGATTAATATGAATGTACAACCTAAGAATTGAGAATTTATAATACTCTTTCTTATTTGAGTAATACTTTTATTTATTTTATTAGAAATGTATAAAATTCCTTATTTGAATCCAAATTATAAATAATTTTTGGAAATACCTTTTTAATTATTTTAAACTTTAAAATAAAAGAGAAGTATAGTAAAAAGATCGATGACTCAAAAATAGAAACTCTTAAAGTTGAAGGCTACATTATAATTACTATGATTATAATTTTTGATATGTTAATTAATAATTTATAAACTAATGAAAAATAGTCTTGAAAGATCTAAATGTTCATTGCCTCGATTAAAAGATTACTCAAAGGAGAAAGCAGAAAAACTTAAATCCTTTTTTCGATCCAATCGAAGCATATCAGAAAATAAGATTATTCAAAGTAAACTAAAAACATCTAAATTGCTGTATAATGATGAATTTTCTGATGATCATAATGTGATGGCATATTATATGAAAAGTAGTGAAAAATTGTTTGGAATGAGATAGATGATTAATAGCACTTCATTAAAAACAGATTAAGACGAAACTAAAAAGAAGAATTTTCCTTTGGGTTTGTTAAAATATAGTTCTTCACCTATAAAATAAATAAAAACAGAAACAGAAGTAGAATAATTTAAAGATTAAGATTTAAATAATTAAAATGAAATGGAATGTTTATCATTTTAATAGGAAATAAGCCAAAACGAGGATTAAGATTATGATATATTAAGTGAAGAAAGTAGTAGTGATGAACCAAAAAGGTTTGATGGAATAGAATTATAATAAGAAATTAAAAAAATATAACATAAACTACGTAAATATGATATTTAATTAATAGATTAAGAAATTGATTAATCTTATTTCTATTTCATTAAGCGATAAGATAGATTAAGAGATTTGGCCATCAATTTCAATAAAAAAAATGTAGATCCTATAAATTTTTATTGTCTTAATGATAATATTTTTCCAAAAAGAATAGATCTATCAAATAGTCTAATAAATAATAAGGAGATGCATTTTTCTGATCTTGGATTAACTGAGAAATATTTTCCTTTAATAAAAAATCTATTATAATCAGTTAAGAGTAAGGCAGTGAAATAACTGTTCTTATGTAATAATTAATTAGATGACAAATCTTTATTGTATTTGATAGAAGGATTTCCTATGGCATTAAAAGAAATAAATTTAGGGAATAATGTTTTAGGTAGAAGAGGAGCAGGTATTATTGTAAGCCATATTTCAAAATTTCTTAATTTAAAATCATTAAATTTATAAAATAATCTATTAGGAGATAAAGGAGTAACTTTATTACTTAGTAGTATATAAAGAAATATGACTATTATAAAACTAAATTTGTCAGAAAATTAAATTACTGATTCATGTTCTACTGTTTTTTATTAATTTTTATTATAGAATAATTTTATTGAAAATTTAGTTTTAAATTGGAATTAATTGGGATAAACTACTGGAACTATGATAGCAAAAGGTTTATAATAAAATCGATCTGTAAAAGTTTTAGATCTTAGTTATAATCATTTAGGATAGAATGAAAGAAGTAATTGTATATAATGTTGGTGTGAAGCAATTAGTAATCCACAATTCTCTTTAGTTCATTTGGATATTTCATATAATTAACTTAGTGAAAAATAATTGAAATAATTTAGTTAAGCATTATTAAAAAATAATAGTTTATATGGTTTACATATTGAAGGAAATAAATGTTCTGCAAAAATAGATCCTTATGGATTCATTAAATTTATAAATGATAGTGAAGAATTTAAAGTAGTATAATAAAAAAAAAATGTTATAGATGGAGTAAACTACATTCCAATATAAGGTGATAATTTATTTGGAAATGATTGTTGTTGGATTTGTTAAGGATGGATGGAATATAGATTTCAATACAATCCAGAAAATGATAGTAATTAAGATCCAATCTTTATACATCTTGATTTTTTAGAGTAATATTATAATTAACTAATAGTTATTAGCCAATTCCTATGACTAGTAGTTATGAATTAAGATAATAATTAATTGAAGCATCTAAAAGAAAAAGTAGTTAATTAGATCTTACTACTGGTGAAATTATACATTAATTAAAATAATTGGTTAATTCTGAAAAAAGGATAACTTTAGCTGCAATAACAGAAGCATATACTGAAGAAACAAGTAAAAAAAGTGAAGAAATTACTAAATAAATGATATAAGAATTAAGTAGGTTTTATTATACTACATATTAAATGTGTCCTCCTAAAAAGAAAATATTATATTTTTTTTCCAATCCTATTAGAGAAGAATATTTTATTGATCCTAGAGTGATGAATATGTCTGCTCCTTTGGATGATTTAATACTTCAAGGCAAAGATCCTAAACATTCTATTCATATATTTTAAGATGGAACTAAATTAGCATTTAAGAAAATTTAATTTGTTAATTATATATATTCAAGATAGGAATATATAATTGATGATAAAGATAATTATAAACCATTAATTAAAGTATTTCCAAGATCATCATAAAAGAAATATGTTTTAAGAAGATTTGCAAATTGTTTAGTTAGAAAATAAGCTCATCTTATTAAATGGAATAAGGATGATTCTATTTTTAGACCATATATTGGAGACACAGAAGAATTATTAAATGAATGTTTTGAATATGATTGGAATAGTAGTAAAATTAGTAGATTTGTTAAAAGTGAATATGAAAGAATAAAATTAAAAGAATATTTTAGATCTAATTATTAACTTTTAAAAGATGTTTATAAATTTTATTCTAGTTTGGGTTATTAACCTCCTAATTTTGATGTTTTTTGTATATAAATTCCTTAATATATGAAATTAATCAATAAATTAGCTATTATTGATGGGGATTTGTTAAAATAGTAAGATGTTGAAATTGATATTGTTTCATTAAAAAATAATATTGATCCTAAATATATTTATAATCCTGATAAAGCATTAGTAAGATATTAATTTTTGGAAATGTTTTTCAGAATTGCTAATGACAAATATATTAGAAATGATATTTATAAAAGTTATGCTGATGCTCTTTTTAGATTATTAAAAGAATTTAAAGAATAATATGAATATTTTGATAATATTTAAGAATGGAGAACTTAAAGATTATGGACACGTGAATGTGATCATTTATTATAAATTAAAATGCCTTTTGTGAAAAAACTATATGATTATGTTACAGATATTGCTAATAGAAAATGGTATTTTAAATTAAAATGGATTTCAATTAGAGAATTTAAAGAATTCTGTAGATAATTTAATCTTCATGAATATTTATCAGAAAAATAATAAGTTATCATATATAATTTCTCTATGATGACTCAAGTTGATGAATTGACTTTAGATAGAAATATAAGAATGACCTTTATTGAATTTGTAGAAGCATTAGGACGAATAGCTGAAAGAATTAGTGCTGCTCCTATCACTGATTCAGTTGATAATTATACTATATTATAGAGATAATTGTTACCTTTACATATTAAATTAGAAACTTTATTGACTTATTTATATTATTAGATGAAATAAAAAGATATAGAATTTGAGTAGTTTTGTGATTTATTTGTATATTTCAAACCAGATTAATCACCAAAGATTAGTATGCCAAAAGTTGATAAAACTAAGAAACCAGAAAAAGATCATGACTATCATAATGTAACTTCTTCATTTACACTATATAATGCAGTCTCTTATTTAAGTACTTTATTCTATTAGTTTAAGATTAGAATAGATAGCCTTATCTAAATCCAAAATATAAATAATATTTAAAACAAAATGTAATCCAAACAGCTCCTATTCGCCCTTTTTAACATATTTTTTAAAGCGATAAAATACGAAAACCAAGATTGATTCCAGATCCTTAAAATTTGGAATTAAGATTAAATCATTAATAATAAAATAAATAATAAAGTCCAAATATGTAAACTACTCTCTCTTAAAATGCATGATTATATATTGTAATTTTTATATAAAATATTTATCAAAAAATAAATATATTACTTAAAGAAATATTTATGTGTTTTAATAATTTAAACTCAATTCAAATGTGAACATTATCTCTATTTTAACTCTTGGAATACATTTTCAATTCTTCTTTTATGAATTCTTTATTCATAATATTTGGAATTTATGGTAAATGTTTCCTAATTTCATCATATTTCTAAATTAATTCAAATGATATATCATAATTAGTTTGTACTAAAATATATGCTATTGATTTTAGATGTTTAAGAGAATAAAATAAATCTCCAAAATATCCTTCTAATTCTTCTGGATCTTCTAATTATTTCACACTACTTTCAATATTGTGATTTAATTGACGTAATTAAGAATTTTCATCTGAATATCTCTCTAAAGTAGAAGATGGTACATTCATTAATATATATATGTGTTATTGTTTTAACCCAAGATTTTCCAATTCTTTAAGTAAATTGTATTCTTAGAAATAGTAATAACGTATGTCTTTCTTAAATGATATAACCAACAATTAATCAATCTATTTGATACTTGCTAATTTTATTGGATTGGATGTTGTTTGAATTATCTATCCTACTTCTTAAGATTTTTAAAGATGTTAATCTATATATATAGATGCAGGACCATATTAAGCTATGATTATAGCTTAACTTTGACTTAATATTGAATTAGGTAATTTTATTTCAAGAAATTAGAAACTTATTTGTTCCTAATCTTCCTATTATTCCTATTATTATATTCCTTCAAATTATTACATAATATTAATCAAATTTATATTATAATTAATTTCAATTTCAGAAAATGTATTTAATTACAATATATCCTTATATTTATAATTAAATAACATATTTTACAAAAGACAAGACAAAGTATCATAATTATAATAATATCTTTTTATAGTGACCATAAATAGAATCATTAGGATTTTCAATTATATATTAAATAAGAGAATTTTTAAGGTTATAAAAATAATAAAGAAAGATTGAATTTTAAAATATATAGATAGATAGAAAATTGATAATGGTCAACTTTTTAGTTTGATTAAATCAAACATATTTGGTAGTTGTAACATTTTTGTGCTAACACTTTCAAATTACTTATCTTCTTCATCAGAAATACATAATGATGAAATTTATCTATAAAATTCTCTTTTTATTGATGATCTCTCCAATTCAGTTTGTACTTCTTGTATACCTTCTAAATTTTGAGGTTAATGAATAATTATTTTAGTTTAATTTGTATTTTGATTATTTGAGTCTTTTTAAAGTTATTAAAATTGTTATTAACTTGATTATTACAAATTCATTTTTTTTATCTAGAAATAGTATATAATTTATATTATTACCCAATCATATTAAAAATCTTTTTCATTAATATTCAATTACTGAAGTAAATTTCTAAAGAGTTTCTTTAAGAATTCATAATCACCTAAAGGATATTATTAAACATTAGTCATTCTAATAAATTAAAAATATTAAAGAATTTCTATAGGCATATCTTTACAATATTTTTCAGGAATCATTCTTAACTTTTATTCTTCCATTTTTTTAATTTTAGATCCATTTTCTTTAACTTTAAACAAATCTCCTTTTTTAAGGAAATACATCAATATAAATCCTAATGATTCTAGATCATCTTTTGGTGAAGCAGCTATATATACAAATAAAAATATATACTTAAACCTAAATGTTAATTAAGACTAGAATATTTAGTTAATTTATTGAGATTAGAAAATTTGGAAGCATATCCTATAAATTTACCATTTTTATGTTTGTATTTAGTAGAATGCTAGAAATCAATCAGTACTAAATCATTTTTGCCAAGTTGTGTTAATATTTTTTTTGGTCTAAGATTACAATGTACTATTGATTGATTATGGAGTTTTTCGAGAATGTTTAACTAAATAAGAGTTTTAATAATTTACAATTTGTATAGCAATCATACAAATGGTTGGTAATGTGAATTCATAATTAACAAATTAAAAACACAGTTTAAGACTTGGTCCATATCTATCAAATACTTAATAATAATAATTAGTATTCTAAAGACGAATATCTCCTGAAAGTTAGAGTGTAGGTATATTTGGAACTGAAATTATTATAAGTTAAATACTTACCATTAGTCAACTTTTTAAGTAATTTTTCTTCCTCTTATAAACTGTCAATGTTTGTGTTTGCCTATCAGGTAAATGAACTAACAATAAAATTTAAAAAATTATTTACATTACCAATCTGACAATGAAGTAGTTACCTGGTTAAACTTGATTAATGGCTGTAAATATAAAAGTATAAATATATAAGGATTACCCAAATACCAATTATGTTTTTTACCTCTGTATATGCAAGTTTTCAATACATAATGTTATCCAACAACGATTAGATTCTATTTTTGATAGCTATCTTTTGATTTAGTTTCACTCATTAATAATAAATATAATGAAAAGTCTGTAGGATATTCATAAAAAGAATCAACAATAGAGAGCAACATTCGCTCTCATGAACCAAATGAATAATCGTACTTAAATGGGATGGTTCACTCCTTAACCCTCGAATGATTTATAATCTCCTTTCGGAAATAGTCTTAGTTAATTCTCTCAATAAGGTTCAGAGCATAATATAATCCATAATACTCGTGGTACTTTACATTCTTGGAGTTAATCTTTAGAAAGACAAATACAATCTAGAGAAATGGCAAGGTAAGTAAGAAAGTAGAATGCTCAATAATCAGCAAGATAAGAGAAACATTTTTTTGGAGCAATTAATGGTATTCCTAAAATTAATTCACCTAAAACTTAAGCAAATTAAACAACTTCTATGTTTCAACCTAATTTAATAAAAGTTGATCCAAAAATAAAAAGACAACTTAGTGAAATGAGTAAAAGAAACTTCCTTCATTTTCTCTTAGTCTAAAAAGTCGGACATGTAAATACTTTATATATATGTAGAAAGATGAAAAATAATTCTATGAGTATTTAAAAAAGACTTATAATTTTGAACCTCCTTAACCTATTGAGGAATAATAAATTAAAGTCTCTAAAAAAGGGATAAAATATTTATTTACTAAAGAAGATGATGATGAAACAATAAAAAAAACAAGTTAACAAATCTTGAGAATGAACAAATTACATCATGGAAGAGAAATACCACTTGATAAATATGTCTAAGACACTTATGAATAATAATTGAGAAGATTTCCTAAAGTAAGAGAAAAACTCGAATCATCTAAAAAAAATCATCTAGAATAATGATAATCTTAATTTTAACATATCATATTTATCTTAATTCATTTTCAATTTAATCTATTTCTCATCTTTGTAAATAAAAAAATAATATCTTAATTATTTTGAATTAAACTTATTTGTATTTCTGAATTCTTTCCAAAATAATCTTCAACTTTATGATCTTATTTAACTTCTCTTTCAACTAAATTTGGTACAGGAATATAAATTCTCATACATTTATTAATAAAATTTGTTATCTAACTTGATATATTAATGTTTTCACTATTCAATTATTAGTAATTTTAAAATGTTTTTAGATTTCTTATCTTTATTATCATTAAAATTAAAAATGAATAGCCAAAGCATAACAACATGATCCAAATAAATTACTAGTTTTATCTACACCAGCAAAGATTATCATCATATATTGTTGGATTGCATGCTCTTCAGTTAATTTTGGATTTTATTCTAAAATAATTAATAATTTATTTGTGTTGTATTAATATATGCTGTTAAAGTATCTGCTGGTTAATTTTACATCTATTATCATTCTTTAATTGAAGCACTCAAGATGTCTTTGATTCCTTGCAGTCTTTTAAAAGCTAATGCTCCTTTTTATATATGGTTCAATTAGGATAATCTCTTGTACCAAATATAAATTGTTTTGTCATACATCGAATCAGTCCTTTTCTGTATAGAGAAAGGATCTTCACCATCACATCCACCAATTCAGATAAGAATTATTTACCTTTAACTTCCTTGAAACTTTAACTAAAGAACGATTCTGTAATCACTTTTCCAATAATATTATCTGATAAGTAAATTATATCGATTGGTTCGTTTATGTTTGTAAATTCTTAAACTTCTCTTCACATAGTCGTTTTATTAATGGGATTCTTGCTCTAAGCTGTATGAATTCAAAAGATTTTGATAGGACTTTTTAACTAATTTCCAATCTTCTCCTTCTTGAAATGCCAAAAATTTATAATTTCAAATAATATACCTAAATACAACATCATTTCAACAAATACTATTTTCAATGACTTTCTATAAAGATCCTAATTATATAGTATGAATTTAACATGTTTTATTTAAAAAATTCATATTTTACACTGAAGAATGTATTACTCACTTAAATTTCAGGATTCATTTAAGGAATCAATTTCTCAAAATTTAGTATATCATTATGTAGCTATAATCCTTTTCTGATTAAAATAATTTTTCCCAATAAAGGATAGTACATCAACTAAATTTTCTTTCCATTTTTATCTTAATGAACATTTAGAATAAAGGCTTCAAAATAAAAAGTGCCAGAAGAATAACTTAAATTTAGAATTAAGATATTAAATTATTAATAATAATTTACAATGAACAATACAATATTATTTCTATAATTTAAAATATTTAAAGGATACATTATTTTTTATGTTTTCACATATAAAGAATATATGTTATTGAATATTTCATAATTTTAAAATAGTTATCATCAAATATAATAATATATTGAAGATATCTTTATTCAAATTAAGTATATATACAAAAATATGAATGTAAATATTGAATTATTAAATCTAATTTTGCTACTTAATTATACTATCCAATATTTTATTTAAAAAAATCATATTTATGAAGATTTAATTAATAATAAAAAATCTAATATGATTTTAAACAATTAATTAGCTATTTATATTATATAATAAAAAAGCATAATTAGAGAATCAAAATTAATTATATATATATTAAATTTTATAATTAAATAAATTAAAAATAATAGATATCAGTTTCTTCTTTTCTTTTTTTAATCTTCATATTGCTTAGGTAATTTTTTATATGCTATGTAACCCAAGAATAAAATGAATGAAATAAATATAAAGAACATGATGTATTGTAAAGATTTTACTGATTTTAATGAAAATCCAAATATTTTAGGTTCCAAATCAAAATTTCTTTTGAGTTATGAATCATCATCATCTTCATCATCCTTGGAATCCATAGCTTTTTCAAAATCCTAAATATATTGCCATATTTTTTCTTCAGCTTAAGTTATATGCATATCAACTTTGTCATTACTATAATCTTCTAATGTCATATTTTCATAAATGAATCTGTAATCATCAAATTTGAATTCTTTTGATTAAATTTATGAGAAGATCTAAAATCATTATATTTCATAATTTTACTTTGACACTATCATCATATGTTATACTTTTTTGACACTAACTAACATAAGATGTATATATTTTCTTCCATACTATACTTTATTCCTATTTGGTTTAATGACTATAATGATATGATGTGAATTAATACCTTTCAATAACTTTCATTAATTCAGACTTATATCTTGATAATTACATTCTAGCTAAAACAATACAAGAATAATTCAAAGTTTTTAATAAAGTTTATAGAGTATCTCTTTCTTTGATGATTTCTTCTTTGGTTCTTGATTTAAATTTTCCTTCTGTAGGAATGTTGTTGTTATTGTCATCTTTTGGAATTTCAGATTCCTATTAAGTAGTTTCTCCTTATTTGATGTCTTCCTAAGCTTAACTAATGACTAAACAAGCAATGAGAATAAGTATGTATAACTTCATCACACTTGTATAATTATAAATTAATAAATTTCTTAAGCAATTAATTTAAATTGAAAATTCATAAAAAGTTAGTTAGTTAATCATTCATATAAACTAGATTATAGTTTTATTAGATTGATCTTAAAAATTAAACTAGTTTATTGATTTTATTATACTTATATAACATTAATAAATATTTTTTAACACCGTTAATGTCACATAATTTTGATGATAGTAGTGTTAACATTCTTTTGAAGGAGATAGATGCTCTCATAAATAGAATGGGAGATTAGAATGATAGTCATAAAAGTGATAATTCTTTTAAAGATTAATTAAGATAGACAGGTAGATTTAAAGTTGAAAATGAATAGCCATGTGAAGTACCTAAGAAATTTAGCATGTCTATTCCAAAAAAATAAAATAATTCTTAATAAAAGAGAGTTACAATTATTTCTTAGAAGAAATCATCTTCATCTTCATCTTCATCATCTGATTAGTAGTATTAAGTGAATAAAAGAAAACTTAAATAAGATTAATAGAAGCAACAATCTAAATATAGTCCAGGAAAAGCAAAATGGGCTGGATCATAATGCTCTTACAGATCTAAAGTTAAATAAGATCTTAGATGTGAAACTCAATCATAATTATCATAAGTGAAAAATTAAATAGTTGTGTAACCTGTAAAAGATGTATTTTGTTTAATTTGTGAAGAATTTATTCCCATAGATATAGTTAATTTTCATATGAATGATTGTAAATAAATCTCTAATGGAAATTGTGAAGATTCTATGTTATAATTAAAATTAGAAAATTATAAGAAACTATTAAGTTTAAGATTTGAAGCTAATTCTGATGAAAATGTTAAACAATTAATTGAACTATTGTATAATTGTACTTAACAGATTCTTGATGTAACAGATCAATATTAGTTATCTCAAATAATAGAAGATTTATATATTTTGAAAACTCAATTAAATTAAAATAGTAAATAAGAATCTTATACTAAGTCTAGCCAAAGCTTATCATGTGTTGACAGTAGCATAAAAAATATAAGAAATTGCAAATAGAAAGATGTAAGTAATGGTTTCATAAAAAGAAAAACTCTTAGTAGCTAAAGAACCATCAACAATTTTACATTAGAATAAAATTAGTTTCTAATAATAAGAATAATTAATTGAGTAAGATTAAATAATTAATATTTTGTTTAGACGTTAAACAGTTATAAGTTATGCTACTAATACTACTGCTAGAAAAAGATTATTTGAATCACCATCATTTTAAAATATGCCTAAATAATTAATCAAAATATCCAATTTAAATATGAAACCTATTTAATAAGTTTAAATTTAGAATAAATCACCTGTTAAATAAGAGATTAACAATTATAAAAATGGAATTGAATTTGGAAATAATTATGATTCTTCCAAAAAGAGATCTTTTATTTAATTATCTAATTCAAAGAATCTATCTAAACTTCATACAGAATAACATCATTAAGAGAATATAATCAGAGAGTCTGAACCTACTGTTATCTCTAAAATTTAATCATATATTTCAAATGTAAAAGGCAAATTTTCTAATGAAAATGAATTAATAAAAAAGAAATTCTTCCTTTAAGCATGCAAATGTAAAGATAAATATCCTGTAAATCATCCTTCTTAAAATGTACTAATATCTGAAATGTTTAATCAATGTTAAAGATAATAAATTCCAGAAAATGAATGGGAAGTTTGGATATGTAATATTCTTGAAAATGCTTGATATATATATTATACAATAACTTATATTAATTTCAATAATAATAATAAATTATAAATATTTATTATTTATATCTCTATTTATATATATATAATACATATTTAAATGATAATTTATCATTTAATAATTACTCTACTTTCAAGACAATGGTAGGGTATGGGTACTAACTTAATAACACAATTGATAGGTATATCAATATTTGGTATTTCATTTATTTAATTACAATGATAATATGCATATAAACATCTAATTAGATTAATATAATTTATAATACTTTAAAACAGCAACATGTGCTATAATTAAAACAGGTTCTCTTGATCTTTCTATTTCATAAATTATAGGTTCTACTCTATGTATTACATCTAAAAATGATTCACCACGAGGATATTTAAATTCAAGAGGATTAGCTTTTCTTTCTTTAATCTATTTTGGATATTTAGCTGCTATTTCTTTAACTGTTAATCCATCACATATTCCATAATCAATTTCATCTAAATTTTTTGTTTTTAATGCTTTTATTCCTAGTTTATCTCCTACAATTTCAGCTGTTTATATACCTCTTTTCATTTAAGATGTAAAAAATGTAATCTAAAGATATTTTAAGATCTAATTACATTTTTATTTCCTTTTAATTCTTCAATAAAATAATCACCTAATTATTAACTATTTTATTTTCCTGTTATAGATAATTCTGGATCTCCTCCTATTTTATCAAGTTAATGATATTCAGTTTAACATGATCTTACTAAATATATTTATCTATTGTTTGCATGTAAATTCAAAAGAAATGATACTATTTTAGAACACAAATAACCCTCCAACATATGTACTTTCACTAGTTTACCAATATTAATTAGTTTAATGTATGATAGATTTTCTATATTTTCAAGACTTTCGTAATTTTATGCTAATACATTTATGTAATTCATAAATTGTTCAATTGTTTAATCTTTAAATCTACTTAATTTAGATTCATTAATATTATTAAGAATTACTTAAGGATCATCACATATTGATTCTATCCAAAATACCTAATATTCTAATTTAAGTTTCTCTTTAAATAAAGATTTTAACTTTTATCTATCTAACTTAGTACTTGTTAAACCATTATATAATGCAATATCTCCATCACTTTATAAAAATGACACTAATTCTTGAGCAGCTGTAAAAGATAATTACTATCTAACTTCTGCAAACTAAATATTAATATAAATCTTACTTACTAATTAGTTGGATCTATTTCTAATTCATAATCTATATTTTGATCTAATTAAGTATTATTTTATTATGCTCCTTTTATAGAGAAGATTTCACTTTTATATCCAATCCAATTCAAATATCTATTTAATTTATAAGAAATGTGTGTTTTCCCTCTTGCTGGTAATCCAACCAATACTAAAATCAATTTATATTGACTCTTTTTATATTGTTGCATAATTAAATGTAATAATAATAATAATAGTAAATAATAATTTATTAAATTAGATAATTTCATTAGATATCAAAGATTATTAAATAATTTACAATTATCTTCAAAAAATATTAATTAATTATGTAATTAAACATACATATTCAATAGTATACTTATTATTTTTAGGCTATTTAGATATATATTTTAATCTAATTACTTATTTAAGTTTATTAATTATAATAATTATAAAAATCTTTAATTAATAAAGTATATGAATATTAATAAATATCTTCTATTAATACAAGTTAATTTCTATAATATATGACTATATTACAATTAAAATTATAGAATATTAAATATATATATTATTTGTTAGATAAATTTGAATAATTAAAATGTTTATATTAATAGAAAAGATTAATGATTTTTAGTAATTGTATATAAAGTGATAAGTGTATATATAAATAATAATAATATTTTATATATATGAATTTGAACTGAATGATTTAGAGGTCTAATTAAATTAAATATTAAAAAAATGAGCGCTCCAACCACATTTACAAATCTAACTTTAGGAGGTTTCATTATTTTCTCATTGTTTGGAATTGCAGTATCCACTAAGTAAGAATTAAGCATATAAAGCTAAATTCATATAACAATATTGAAGCTTCTTTTAGTAATAGTGTTTGTAGTGAAAGCTTATGAAGGATTCTATAAAAAAAAGAATGAGAAACAAGTTATTATAAAGTCACCATATAAACAAATAAATTTTAATGCTTTTGAGAGGAATTAAGAATTTATTTAATAGCCAGAATATAGAGGTATATTGTATTAATATTATGATTAAGTTTAATAATCAGAAATGATTCATACTCAATCAGAATCTGTTGAAAGACAATTTCCAAAAGAAAAGGAAAGAATATTAAGTAAGGAATAAAGAAAGAATAATATGAAGATGCGTAATATATTTGATCATTATACAAATCAGATTTTTTGCAAGAATGTGATAATGGGGAATGGCAAATGCCATACAAAAATGGATCAAATAGACAATTTTATGCTGATGATACTAGATCATAATATAGTTTGGCTTAAACTATGTCTTATTAATAAGTTCAAACATTAGGAAAAAGTAGCAGCTATAATAATAAATAATAAAGTGGTACTCCAGATTATGAAATTCAATAGAAAATTAAACATACAGAAGCAATTTTATAAAAATTAATTAAAAAAATGAGTGATGCTCATTAAAAAGCAGAAGAATTATTTATGAAATCATTTATTCCAACATTTGTTAAAGAATTTTAAGATCATCTTGTAAATGTGAATAGAATGATGAAAGAGCATTTTTAATAAAAAATAATAGAAATAGATATCTTTTTTGCAAATAAACCTTATGATATTAATTCAAATAAACATGAGAAATCTATTGGATTTAAAAGTGTCTCAATGGAAGATGTTTTCTTTCTTAAAAATTAAATTAAGAGTAGATCTAGAGAACCAATAAGAGCACCAACAAATGTTGATAAATTTACAAAAGAAAAAGCAGAATTTATAAAGGAATGTGATCTTTTGGAATTATTTTGTAATATTTTAGATGTAACATTAATTAACAGAAAAATAATTAATGATAAAAAACTATTCTTAACTAAATTAATTGATTTTTCAGAAAATAATTGTAAACCTTAATATCTTACAGATGGTTTGAATGATAGAATGATTAGCGATTATGAAGTAAAATTATATTAATATTAAGTTACTCTTTACTATTTTTATTAATGTTTTATTAAAATGTGTTAAATATGAAAAATAGAAATATAGTAAGGAGAATAATGAAATTAATTTAAATGCATTAAAATCAATTGAAATAAGTTTAATTGGAATTGAAAGTTTAGGAAATACAGAATTAGAATTAATTAAATAAAATGAACCTAGTAATGGATAAGTAAAATAAAATGAATCTTTAAATGGTAATCAATAACAAAAATAAAGTGAATAGATTAAGTAAAATATATATAATATAAATTAGAAATCTAATTATCAATCAAAAATTAGAATAATATGTTTCTGAACCTCAATTTCATTATTATAGTGATTGTATAGTCAAAGCTTTAACAAAAGAGAAAGAGATTAAGAAAGTTAAATAAGAGTATATATTATATACTCCTAGAGTAATAAGTTTAAATTAATTTATCTTAGGATTAAAATTCATTGTTTTATTTAATAAGTTATTATCTACTTCATTTGTTGAATGTTCCAAAATAACATTGGTAATAATTATAATAAATGGAAATGGATTAAAAAATGATAAAATGCTTAATTAGAATGGCTAAAGATTTTTCATATTTAGTGGCAAATGTGTGATTTAATTATATTAATTATAATTTGAAAATATGTATAGAGATTTCTCTGAAAAGCTATTAGGAAGATAGGAATCAACCTTAAGTTTTCATGCTCAATAAACACAAGAAGGGTTGAGACCATAGATACTTTAGAAAGTCAATTAAAACCTAATCTTTGTTATTTATGTAGTAAGTTAATTGCTTCAATTAATGATTGGATTTTCATTAGTTTAATAAATAGATATTATTACAATAGCTACTTAAAGATGCATTATTACAATCATATTGACATTACTGTATATCTAATTTTTTGATAATTCCCAATTTTAATTTGATCAAAATTACATAAAAGTATTTAGTGTAATGAGTGGTGCATAAGTATTAGCATCTTTAATGGGATTACTTGCAATGAAAACATTCGTCTTTTCAGAAGTATGCACATTCCATCAATTAACAGCAGGATATATTCTAGTTTTACAACATTTCCTCATTCAACCAGGAAATAATGTAAATCTATTACTTTCACTTATTCAAACAGTTTCAACCATTTTATTTAGTGGAAACATTTTGTATATACTGATATGTCTCTTATAACCATTAAGTTTAGCATTGATATAGACTCTAAAATATTTGATGACCAAATAAATTTAATAATTTTCATTATTATTATATACTAATCTTATAGGATTACCAATTTACATTCTATTAAGTTTATTTAGTGGAGGTGTGTAGAATGTTTTCGATATGACTTATTTTATGTAATCATATTTATTTATTTAGTGAAATCCTAATAATGTGTATACTCTAAATGCTTGCTTATTTGGCCATTAATGAATTGATAAATTAATAGTTATCAACTATGTACATTTGGGCTCTATCTGGTTGTGTAACTATCTTGTCCTTAATTGTATAATTGGGATATCACTAAGTTCCATTGGGATTTGGATCATTATCGGTTATACTAATAGTTTTTACATCTATAGGCATGCATAGATAGACTTGAGTATAATCATTACATTTATAAATAATAAGTGTTAATTATTGTATCAATTTTATTTTATATAATACCATATAAACAATTAAAATGTAAATATTCACATAATTATGTAATTTATTCATTTATTAAAGATTTCTCTATCTTCTCATATATAATTAGAAGAATATATCCCAAACATCTATGTAGTTTTAATAATCTTTATCATATACATTTAAAAATAGACTCAAAAAATAATATAAAAATTATTTTATTTATAAACTAACTAAACAAATAAATGTACATCTCAAAAAAATATATAAATTATTTTTTCATTCTTCTTCAAAAGTGTTGAAAATTCCAATCTATATTTTTTATTTCATATTAAAAGAATGTTAATATTTTATAATTTTATTTTATGAATTAACAAATGTAAATAAACAATAATTTCATATGTTTAAATTATTTCATCAACAAATCTCTTAAATATTATAATTATTCAACAATAAAATTTTAATTAAATATTTTACTCTACTATCTATTCAATTTATATAAATGTAATTATAATAATTGAATATATTTACATAAATTCAATAATAATTATGAGATTGAGTTTATTATTTATCTCTACTTAGACATCCAAATGCTGAAAATACTTTATCCATAAAACCAAGTTCTTCTTATCTTTATGGATATCCTTAAATTTCCTTTAATCCTTATTACATTTATTATCTTTAGGAAAGTCTGCTTACTCTTGCCTTAAATTCTTCTTCTTAGTTGTAATTTGAAGAAGCAGTCGATTTCCCATTATTGTTATTGTTATATTGAGAGACATAATTAGAAGATTTAGATAAGGGTTTTAAATCAATATTATTATTTTATGATGGTCCTTTAATAAATGATCTAGTAATAATATCATCATTTTATGGAGATATAGATCTATTTGATGAATCATTGTGTTTATCTTCTTTAAGTATATAAGATCTTAGATCAATTCCATAACTTTTATAGTATTTCTTCATCCAAGGATGTTCAAAGATTTAAGTCATTGATAATCTCTCATTAGGATTATATTTGAGTATTCCTTATATTAATTATTTAGCTTCATGTGATAATGATGGATCATAATCAATAGGAGTCATCTTAACAATATTATTGCATTTTTCATTTTCATTTTTCCCTTTGAATGGAGCAAAACCATGGATTAATTCAAATAGTAATATACCTAAACACCAAATATCTAGAGTGAAACTATAGGGTTGATTAGTCAACATTTCTGGAGCCATATAATCTAAAGTACCACAAAAAGTTCTTCTAACTCCATTTTAAGTAGTTTCAGCTGACCAACCAAAATCACAAACTTTTACATTACCTTATTTATCTAGTAGCAGATTTTCTGGTTTGAGATCTCTATGTATTATATTTTTCTTATGTAAATAATCTATTCCCAAACAAGTTTAAAAAAAATATACAAAAGCTTCATTTTCTGGAAGTCTTCTTCTTTTTCTTATATAACTAAATAAACTTCCATTTTCTTAAAAATATAATAATTTAATATACCTGCTAATTCTAATATAAGAAATACATTTTCTTTATCTTCAAAATAATGAAATAGTTTAGTTATATGTGGATGTTATAATCTTCTTTAAATTTTAATTTCTCTCTTAAGATTTTCAACAGAACAATATTCAAATATTTATTTCTTGTTCATCTATCTTCAATAAAGAGAGTTACCACTTTCATTGCATACATTTAACCATTCTATTTATCTTTGACCAATTTAACACAACCATAACTACCTTTTCCCAATTCAATTTGATTATCTTTGATTATTATTTCAAAATCTTCTGGTTATCTACGAATTGATTTCAAAGTAGATGCAGAGTCATTCAGTTAAGTTTGACTCTTTCCATTTATTTAACCACAATTATTCTTATGAAATAAAGTCCTATTAAATAATAAGATTTTTATTTACCAATCAGTATCTCTACATTTCTAGGAACAATATTTGATGTTTTAACAATATGTACAAGAGTATATTGTATTGTTATTAGTAGTAGTATTAATACAATATTTATATGAGCATATTTAATTCATTTAATAAAATAAAATAACGCATCTAATTTATATCAATTTATGCAAAACTTTCCCATTGAAGCTAACTTTGATTTAGTATAGGCTGGAGTAGGCAAATCATTTAGATTCATTCCCAATTATTTTAGTATATAAGGATTCTGTGTCTAATTTGGATTAGGATTAGTAAGTGGATTATATTATTGATTTTAATCAGAAGCAACACTTCTAGCAGGTGTAGAAATCTAAAATCTCTTATATATTCATACATTATTTTATCTATCCGAATTATGCCAATACACAGAATTACCAAGTTAATAACCATTCGATTAAGCATCATATCTATTCTTTTTTCGTTTCTATTATTATTCTTGCAATTAAATAGAAAGTATTGAATTATACTTCTCCTTTGATATATCTTCCAATTCTTTCTAATATTTGTATTGTTTCTCATCTTGTTATTACTTTTGTACAAAATTCTTTTATATGATGTCATCTATTCCCTATTTTGGATCTCTATAATTATCTAAATACATTGCCTATAATTATTGCTATCTGTTTTAAACATTCTGATAATACTTTCAATATATCATTAATTATGTACTTATTTATAATTGTCTAACTTCCTTTATATTTTATTATTTTCTTAATGTACTTATTCTTAATAAACTGCCTAATCAAACTTTTTATAATTTTATTCATTCAGCTTTTTAATCTACGCTTGACCATATTATTAATCCTACACCTTTCTATAATAATCTTTTTTTTATTTTTCAAAAAACTCAGCCATTGTTTATCCTTGTTTTGCAGTATCAATAATTTATTATTCAATCTATTATCTTTCTTATCTCTATCAATATAGATAACATTACTATCTATTCTTGGATGATTCTTTAATTAGTTAGTGAATTTTCATACCATTTTGATAAATCCTATTTTACATACTATTTGTTTTGTCCTTCCATAAAATTATGTATTTCTTTCTCTTTTCTCAAATTCTCTAAGTATAACAATTCCTCTCTTTATTTTTGTGTTGTTAGAGATCTCTTTCTCCTTTCCATCTCTAACTACTGGTCATACAGTTACTATTTTAGAAGCTCCTATTAAACCAATCTGAAATCTCTTGCTTGATCATGCAATTAACGATTTACATCAAATTCTTTATAATCGTCATATTTGATTGGCAAAATCATATTTTAATAATAAAATTTTCGTTCTTTGTGGTATAATTAATTTAGAATTTTTATTTAGTAACTACTATGATTAATAATTGCAAGATTACTTAAAAATAAATTATATAATCACTTTTAAGTGAGAACCAATCATTCAATCTAATTTTGATTTAAACATGTAATTCAAACTACCGAATAAGTAATATTTATATGAAAAATAAATTAGCAATTTAATTGTAATTTAAATGTCATTTAGAAAAAATAATAAGTGTATATCAAATTTAGATCCTCATTTTGGAAAGAAAAATATGAAATCAATTAAATATCTTAAAGATCATATTAATTTGAATAGTAATTAATGGAATAATATTATATTTTATTATATTAATATCAGATCTCATAGTATAAAAAGATTATTAACTTATTATATAAGTATATTAATATATCACACTAAAAATTATTTCATATTTTGAAGTTAAAGTTAATAGAAATATCATTTAATTATTAAATATATAATACTAAATCTTATATTACATAAAATTGATTTAAATTTTATTAAGAAATATTCAATCTTGTTTTTATCTAAGTATTTATTTATCTATATAATTAAACTAATTCAATTTCATTTTATGATTAATTATCATTAAGTATAATTAAGGAGATTATTATTTATTGTTTAATATAGTTTTTATTTAAGATAGATTATTGCCATACATTTATATATATTAAATATATAAAAGAAGTTGTTTTATTATAAATACATTCACAAGAAATAATGAGATAAGATGTCTATTAGAAATTACAAATAATTAAGTTATTGTGATTGAATTGAGATTAAAAAAATAAATAATTTTTCTATTTATTACTTAATTTTCAATTATGATAATATAAATCATACTTATAAATATATTGTTATTTATTTCAGAAAATAATTAATAATATTTAAATGAATTAAGAAATTAGCCAAAATTTATATCATATATTGAGATATTCATCCTGATAATCTCATAAGGTAGTTTATTATAAGCATTTCTTAATATATTTATTAGCGATCATAGTATTTACAACTGTTATTGATACCAAATAAAATATTAAAGTTAACGATCTAAATATTATGAAAATCTTGAGGATTGAGAAATATCTTATTAAATATGAGTCTAAAAACTACTTATTCTTTTGAAGAGATTCTTAAAAGTCCTATAGCTATCAAGAAAAGATCAAAAGTTATTAAAAGATAATTCTGTTCAATTTAATAATAAAATATGAAATTTACAATATCATATTATTAAGAATAGATTCTTATTTAGAATGTAACCAAGACTCTACCAAGAATTAATTTTAATTGAATTCAATTAAAGGTCAATTTTGATTCACTTGATTATGAGAAATTTAAAATTCCTGATATAAGGACTTAATTTATTCGTTTTAATTAAATTAAAAAAAACATTTCAGTTTATTTACATTTTATATAAATTTGAAAGACATTTATAAAGACAATAAATCTATATTGTGATTGAGTTTAGAATGTAAGGAGTTGTATAAAACTTCAATATATAAATAGACTCAAAATCAATTAGAAAATCATTTCATCATATAAATTAAGAGAACCCACATTGACTACATTTTTGTTAATAGAAATAATTCTAACATTAACAAATGGAGCATTTCTTTAAAAAAGAGAATGATTTATTCAAGTTTTCGGTTTTTTTGGATAAATCCTCGAGAAATAGAGCTTATGAAAAAACAACATCTTCATCATCATTTGTTTCTACTGAACTATGATTACTTCCTCCTAAGTCTTATTCTTAAAGTTTGATAGTTTAGAGGATTTATAATCCTTAATCAACTTTATTAGGTATAAATCTTGTTCCAGGTGCATCTCTGGTACATTATTAACATCTGTTACAAACTTTTCGAAATGAATAATTTAAGTTTCTGCATTCACCACAAATCCAATCACAAGGTTTGTTTTACATTTTAAGTGACTTAGCAATTTTTTTAATTTTATTATTCATCTTTCCTACTATAATTAATTATATAATAATGCAAAAATTAATGAAAAAACCGACGTTTGATTCAAATAATCTCAGACTTTCATCTTTACGTATTTTTTACACAAATTATTTAATTGGCAATTAAACTCGATTCAATCAAGACCCTGTTTATGATTAAATCATATTAATAAGAATTAGCTATATAAAAATATACTAAAAATTGAATTACAGTTTTGGATTTGAAATTATTCATTTTTTATGGCTATCTTCATTAAATATTCATTCTTATTGAAATATATGTGTTGATATTGATCAATAATCTATTTATAATAACACAATTTGAGTATAATCAAAAATTAATATTATTTCGATCATTATTTATCTATCCTATTTTTAATTCAATAAATAATAGTTTAAGGCATGAAATTCATTTTCTGACTTTTTCAAATTTTATTTATATTTTATATTAAATATATTTATATTTATTTAAATAATCATAAAATAATTTGTATTACAGAAATACTTATCTAAAATGCTTATAAATGATTAATGGGTGTAGTATAAAGTACTTCAAATGTTTTTTCATCTATTTTTTATATTTTTATCAAGAATTGATCTGATGTGAGTTCTTTTTTGTAAATAATTGACCATAAATTTTATTTTTTAAATTTAAAGATGTTATAAAATTCAAAGAATTAATTATTTTACTAAATGATTTCTTTGTTTTTCTTAAAATAAACAGGGGAATAAGAATATATTTAATTATTTAATTAATTTATTTTTGGAATGTGACACTAAAAGATAAATTTAAAATTACTTTTAATTCATTTTATTTACAAATACTTCCCAAATATTTTCTATAAAATGATTAATTTGTACATTTTTTTGGACTCATTCCACCATCTTAAAAAACATAAAGTTTTCCATTATCAAATATTTTTATTTTTCCAACAAGAGCCTTACTCTCTGAATTAATTATGAATTTCTAATTTAATAATCCTATTTTTGTAGCATCCAACAACATAAGGTCAAAAATATAGAATTTATAAGAATTATTAATCTTTTTAATATATCCAGGCATAATCCTATTTTAATAAATTATGTTATAAACTTCATAGGTGTTATTGGCTATTAAATGAAATCTAATTTATTAAATGGAATTCTAATTGATTCTACAGAGACAATTTGATTTTATTCTTCAAATTCATTCTCTGTATTAATGCCTTAAAATCTATCATATAAATTCTGACTTTAATCAATATTGTTTAATGAAACCTCTACTACTTGGCTAAATTATCTGAAATCATTCTAATTTGAAGATATCATAAGATAAAAAATAATTAATATAAAAATGAAAATTAATTTTGAGTTATATGCAAATTAAATTTTTAATTATATATAAATTATCATATTAAATATATATAAATATATTATTTATTTTATATAAAAATATATGAGATCTTAATTTTTATCAATATTGGTAATAAAGTCTCTAACTATTTTGTTTGGATGGCTACTTTTTCTTTGGATTTTCTGGAGATAATACTTGCTTTTAATAAATGTCCTTTTAAAGTAGGTTGCTATGTTACTTTTTAAGGTTTTGGTAATAGTAATTATTTTGATAGATGCTCATATGCGGCTTTTTAGGTTGGAACTTATAAACTGTTTTTGAATTATGTTGTATTAATTAGTTTTGCTTTCTGTATATAAGTTTCTATATCTTTTTCTAATTACTTATCTAAAACAAACCAATTAAATTCTTTAATTTTTTCATGTTTAATAAATAATGATCTTATATTATGAAACAATTTCAATCTATCTGTAATAAATTTCAATTGAGTATATAATTCATAAAAACTAATTGCTTTGGAATATAAATGATAAACTACCATCTTTAACACTAAATTATGAATAAAATTCTAATTATTCTTCGACTTCTTTCTTAAAAAACAAGTATTCATTAATACAATCCTTATAAATTAGAATTGTTATATCTTTCACTATATTCTATTTATAATTTATTTAGTCATACAGATATTTGTAATTATTTGGAAATAATCTTTTAAATATATGGAATCATAGCTAATTTAAAATTGAGTAAATTTAATAATTTGAATAACCATAAATACTAAACTCTTCTATTATTATGTTCATCTTAGTATGGATATTACATTCTTTAAGAAGAGTAATAAATATCACAATTATTCACAGCTCTTTGTAAATATGAATAATATAGTTTGGTCAATTCTTTTTCAATATCATCAAATTATGAAGGAAACTAATCATAAAATTAGATAATACTTCTGAAGAATTTAAATAGACAATTGTTTATTGTTATTGTTATGTTTAGAGAGTTACAGTATGATTAGCCTAACATGTTTTTAGGTTTCTTTGATCTTAAGGCTTCCCAAAAATAATCTTCTTTAGGGTATATTCTGTACCTTTCCTTGCTGAAAGCATTATGTTACTTAATCAAAATCATTAATTTAGTCTGCAATAACCATCATATGAATGGTGTATAAGACTTTCAATTCTTCAAGTATAGAATTTGTTTATCTGCTAAAAAGTAGCTTTCGTTTTTTTTCATTTTAAATGATAGCTTTGATGTCTTCTAATTAAACAGTTTAGGAATTGCCATCATAAATTGAAGAATATTCTACTTTAATATCTAAATTAGCTTCTTCCTTCTTGTTTTTGAAAATTGACTTAAATATTTTCATTTTTTTTATTTTTTTACAAAAAACTTTGAATTTGTGGATTGAAACATCTAGAATAAATTTTAGAAGATATATGATAAAAGAGAATATATATATATAATAATTGCTGTTTTTTGCAAAGCATAAACAATCAAAGTGATTTTCACTATTAAAATCACCAATCTCTGAATGGATCATCATTTTATTTAATAGGATCTGGTAATTCAGTACTATCAGGATAAACAGCAAAATTAGAAGTATCATCATCAGATCTTGTAAATAATAAAATATAAAAATTACCTAACTGATGGTATGTATTTAGGTCTAATTTATTTCTTGATTAAATTATCCCAATTTAATGTTTGATACCATTTATGTTATTTAATATCATTAGCTCCATTTTTAAGATTTCCTAATCTTTTTGAAACATCAGAAACTAAAAGATTTTTAATTAATTCTTTAGCATCATTATCAAAATTTTTAGGAAACTTTACCTTTCCTTTTAATATTTTTTAATAAATTGCCATAGGATCTTCATCATTAAATGGATCAATTCCTAAATCTATAATGATATCTAATTACCAGCCAACATTTCATAAATAATAATTCCTAAACACCACCAATCAACAGGTCTTCCATGTCCTTTATTCAGTAAAATTTCAGGAGCAAGATATTCAGGTGTTCCACATAATGTATATGTATGATCTTCTACAACTTTAGCAAATCCAAAATCAGTTAACTTCAAATACCCATTTTATTGAATTAATAGATTTTCTGGTTTAAGATCTCTGTATACAATTGTCTTTGAATGTAAATACTCAAACATTAATACAATTTAAGCAGAGTAAAATCTATATTATATTAAATAATATACTATGCTTCATCGTTTTCTATTGTGCCTGCATTCCTTAAATAAGTAAATAACTCTCCACCTTGAATATACTCTAAAACAAAATATAAATATCTTTCATCTTAAGTGTAACCTAATAATTCAATCTAAATAATTAAATATAGATTTACAATAAAAGGATGCTAAATCTAATGAAGTATTTTGAATTCAGAACTAATATGATCAACTTATTTTAATCTAAGAATTTCACATTTCTTTAACATTTTTAAAGCAACATGCTTTTAATTTGATTTCTATTTTGCTAATCTTACTCTACCAAATGAACCAGTACCAAGAGTTTAAAGTATCTCAAAGTCTTGGAGTTTCACTTACTTATTCTGCATTTATTTTGATAATTAAAAATAAATAATAATGTCATTAGGAAAAAGATAATTGTCAGGTTCAAAATTGAAATTTGATGCTGATTATAATAAAAATGTCCTTGAATAGTAAGAAAAGAAGAGACCAGGATCTGGTTAACCTTTATCAACTATAACTTCTCCACTTCCTCCTAGAAAACCAGTTTATTCTGGCAAGTTAAGAAGTATTATACCTCCATCAGAAAATGTTAATCAACAACATCGTATAATTAAATCAAGCAATAGTTAATAGAAATAATAATTAACCCCATCAGTTACTTAATCTCAATTATAAGGTGTAGTAAGAATATTTTATTATCAATTTTCATAGGTGAGTCCACATAAAACTAATAAGCCTCCATTATAATTAGATAAGAAACTTATAATACCTAAATAGAATACATCATCCTAAATTTCAATAAAAAGTTCTATTGTACCTAATCAAATCTAAACAGGAGAGAAAAAAGTAATTTAAAAATCAATTGAAAAACCTGGTGCTTTAACAAGTCCTGGATAAAATGATAAATAATTTACATGGAAGAATTAGATAGAACTTATAGTGACTTAATCAGATTTTGAAAATGTAAATATTTTAATATAGCAAGAAAAGAAGGCAAATATCACATGAGAAATTAAAATAAATACCAATAAAGTAGATTTAATAATAACCATTTGATTAAAAGAGATCCACTTAACCCATAATTTAATAAACATAATCTCATATTATCAATTAATAACCAAGATAAATACTTTAAACATAATAAATACAAAAGAAATAAGCCTATAATCCAAAATAAATTAATAATATTTAAACATAATCATAAATTTAAGGAAGTTAACCAAAATGTTTTACTGATTTTACAATGACATCAGGAAGAAATGATCTTTAATAACTTTTTTCATCTATGCAATTACAATTAAAAGAAGCTTCATAATATGCTGAATAACATCCAAATTTAAATATGAGTGGTAAAATATTCTATTTAATCTTTTATTAGAAATATAAGAACAACCAGATGATGCTAATTCATCGTTTGCATAAAGTACTCTATATTAATTTTAAAAGTGATTATGAAATTACTAAAATGAGTTTATATTTCACATCTTTTTTTGAATAAATTATAATATCAAATATCTATATGAGATATTTATTAATTAACAAAAAAAAATCAACCAAATAATTATAAAATTATTATTATTATATTAATCATAATTGTATTTTTATGACTGATTCATCTTCATATTAATATAGCATTAATGAAGGCTAATATGAAGCTAAAATAGGTGAAAAGTTGAAAAACAATCAATATTAAATTATCAAATGGTTAGGAGATGGAACATTCTCAAAAGTTTGGTTAGTAAAAGATTTAGTAAACTCATATCATTATGCACTAAAGATATAAAGTTCATTATATTCAGATGCAGCCATGGAAGAAATAGAAATTTTAAAGTATTTTTATGATATTAATTTAGAATTTTGAATTAAAATGAAAATTCATCTTAATGGATTAACATTTAAAAAAATTTTATTGGGAATTAATAATCAACACATTGTGTAAAAATGATTGATTCTTTTGTTCATGTTGTTGATGATACATTACATTATTGTGTAATAATGGAAATTTTGGGACCTACTTTATTGGATTTAATTAGATTCTATGAAAAAAAAGTTTATGATATTATTATTATTAGCATTCTAGTATAAGTCTATAATTAGGGAAAGAGATAACTAAATAAATATTGATTGGATTGATTTATGCTCATGATGTATGTTAAATTATACATACTGACATAAAACCAGAAAACATTATGATTGAATTAAATGAACAATAATTAAAGTAGTTAATAAATGAAGATGAAGCTGAAGATTAGAAAAAAAAGTAATAAGAGAAAATATTTAGAGAATTAAATTGAATAATATAAATGTTGGTGATACTTTTATTTGGAATGAGAATGTGATTATCAATGTAAACACTGACCTTAAATTTAAATTAGTTGATTTTGGAAATGCTTGTTAAACTAATTAATAATTTGAGGAAATTTAAACAAAGGAATATAAATCTCCTGAATCTATTATATAAGCTAAATATTAAACAAATACAGATATTTGGTCTTTAGCATGTGTAATATTTGAAATCTTAACAAATAATTACTTATTTTAACCTGAAGGAGATACTGAAGAAGAAGAAATGGATGATTTATTAGCAATGATGATAGAATTGATTGGACTACCAAATTAAAGTTTCTTAAGTAAAGGTTAAAGAAGTAATTTATATTTTGAAAATGATGGAAATTTAAAAAGAATTAAAGTATTTTATTTATATTTATAAAAGGAATTACAAAAAGTCAATCTTACTAATACATTGATTAATGAATACAATTTTGAAAAAAAAGAAGCATAAAAGTTAGAAGATTTTATTCTCTTTGCATTAAAGTGGGATCCTCTTGAGAGACCATCTTCTTAAATTATGTTCTTTCATCCTTGGCTTAGATAATGAAATACAATTTTACAATAAAAAAATAAATTATTAATAAATAGTTATTAATTATTCAATAAAATATATTAATAACCTTAATTTATTTCATAAATATCATAGATATATTAATTTTTTATTATTAAAATGATAATAATAAAGTTCTAACTTTATTTAAGAAATTTAAAATAAATTTATTGTTATATTAAACTAGATATAGAATAAACTTTGAAGATAAATATTTTATATGATAATAAATCAATTAAATAAACAAGAATAATGATGCAAATTATCGTTTTCATTTAATTTTACACAAGGTTATACAAATTTTCCATCTTCAGTCTAAAGGAAAACTTAATTACATGTTGAACATTTATGTCCCTTAAATAATATTTTAATAGTTTCTTCAATATATTGAATAATTTCTGTTAATTATTTTCTGAATATTTTTCTATATTAGACATTGAATATTAATTATTTAAACCATTAATTGACTTATTTCATAATTTCAAGTTCATGTTAATGATCTTATTTTTCCATTTTTTAGGATCCATCACATAAAAATGCTTCTATATCCAATATTTAAGTAGCATTTAAGTATTTTGTAAATTCATAATTCTTAATTATTCGAATAAAAAACCATTTGTAATCAATTTTTCTAAAATATATTATTTGATTTTCTTTATCCTTTTAATATTTTGGATCCTTAACTTCTTCAATTTCATAATTTTAAGGATTCTCTATTAAAAAATGTTATTCTTTATATCCTACTTTTTAGATTCTTTAATTAAGTAATTTTTTATCTTTAGTAAATAGTAATATTTAATGATATATTTATTTTACACCTATATATTATTGATGTAATTATTTATAATTTTCCAATCTAGCATTTACACTATCTTCTTTTTTTTCTAAATTATCTTTAACTTAATAATAGTTTCTTCGCTAACTTGAATAATAATCAATTGCTAAAATTTGCTCTTACATAAGATAATGAATTTCTCCTAATATTCTTTACATTTATTGAGCAATCCCCCATTCTTCAGCTTCAAAATTTTATTCTTCCACTTCCATTGTTCTTCTCATAAACAATTTATATTTAATTATAATTATTATTTATTTTAAGTTTAATCTAAATTAATAAGTGAAAAAAAGTATAATTATTAAATAAGTAAGTTAATAAAGCTATATACAAATTAATTTAAGTATTCAACAAGTTATTTTTCTAGATATTTTCAAATCTTATTCAATATTTGGAGATATTATATTGGATTTACTTTTTATTCTTGAAAATTCTAAAGTATTTTTTGTTTAATTATTAGATTTGCAACCAATTTCATTACAATTTAATTAACTTTTAGCAATAAAGAATACCATAATATCATTTTAAACTATTTCTGTATATCTAAATTATATTAAATATTATATACTTAAAAATTGAATTTAAATAATTCTCTAATTCTTTTTTTCTCTCTGATAAATCATAATCATCATCTAAATTTATAAATTTCTTTTCTGGAAATTCAGGTAATTCAAATTAGAATTTTTATTTCTTTAATTAATGATTATATTCTCTTAAATCTTTATATCTTTAACTAAATTTCCAATTTTTGCCTGTCAATTGATCATCAATTTAAATTATATAGATTGCAGAATTATCATATATTTTATGATCTTCAAATTTAAATGTATATTATTATCTACAATAAAATTAAATATTACTTATTTTAATTGAATTATTTTGATTAAGGCAAAGAAAATACTTCATTTTCATGTTTGGCTAAATATGATTTTTTTAATTCTTCAATTTCTGACCAATTTATATTAGATTTTGTATTTTTTGATTCTTATACATTAGGTTTCTTAATAATAGGTATAAATTCTTAAAGTGCTCCTAATCCATGAAGATCCTAATGTTAGAATACCTCATTTAAGTATATTTATAATTCCAATCTCTTTAATAGATATATTTAAAATACCCTTTTTATAATACTTTCTTCTGATATATTAGTTGAGAAAAGAATTTTTTTTTTTGGAAATTAGAGTTATGGAATTTTTATTTTAAAAATATTAATCCAATCTAGTATTTTTTAATGAATCAACTCTAATTCTGAATATCTCTTTTTCACTTCTTTTGTACTATTCATTTCTATATTTGTTGTTCTTATTAAATAGAATACCTTTCCATTTAAGTATTCATGTTCTGGTATTTCTATTATAAATCTTTAAGTAATTTTATGCATTAATAAATTTTACATGTATTTTTCAACATTTGTATAAATTATCCTCAATTTAAATTTTATGAAACAATATATATTTATGACAGAATTTATTAATTCTGAGTTGATTAATCCATAAAAATAATAAAGTCTATATTATGCTACATTTAAGTTCATTCTTTTTTAAATAAGTTAATAAACTTTGTTTAGGATATTAACAATAATGCTTTGTGATTAATTATTAATAAAACTTATAATATTAATATATTTTATATTTTGCATTAATATATGTCTTAAATATCAGAATACTTAAAATATTAGATTTAACTTAGAGAAACTATGCTGCCTTAATGTTCTGAAAAAAAAAATAATAAAAAATAAAAATAATAAACTAAGCGTCCTCCTTATCATTAAAAAATTCCCAAAAAGACTTAAGATTCTACTTATAAATTATATCTATTGCCTTCAGTAACATTATTACATAAATTAGGAATTTCCCCTCACCAGTTATGATCATAGAGAAAAACCAACTAAATTTAAAGCTCTATTTTAAACATTAGGGAAAAATAATTATTTTTTATGATAAAATAGATCATTCTAAACATTTAAAGTTAGTTTATTCACATTATATATACAACATAAACATGTAATTATAAAAATTTTTTTACATAATTTTTGAATCAAATAAAATATCTGACTATTTTTTATTCTTTTAAGATATTAAAAATGATCTATATAAATATCATACGTATTTTCATTATAATTATAATTCTAAAATTCTCTTATTATTTTATGATATATTTTTAATAAATAATTATTTAATATGCTTTTACTAATTCTATTCTTCATTTGTAATGCATTTCATCATAAAGGAAATTTGCAAACAAATACTACTTTAAATTTAACCTTAAATTTTACTGATTAAGCTCCAAGTATTATAATCAAATTTTTTTTGCCAATAGCTAGATAAAATTAATAAATTGTTGCTTGCTTCGTATCATTCGAAAACTTATCACTAAATACGTTTGTATTAGATTAACTTTAATTAAAAATCAATTCTAAAATAACATATGACATTCATAGCATATAATCAAATAGTGACACATAATTAGTTCAATATCCTTACTATTCCATAATTTATTTATAATGTTAATCAAATTAGAATATCTTTATTGATTATCAACTAACTTACTTAGAAGACTATTTGAATCCATTTTGCATAAATAATTGTAAAGGATATAATGATAAAAATAATGGAAATAATTCTTATTGCTCAAATAACAATTGTGAATGTTAAATAGATAAATTAGGATAATTTTGTTAACTTGATTCAACATTTTTATTAAATAATTAGTGGATTATTGTAAATTTAGATTCCTATCAATGGAAATATTTTTATTATTAAATAAGAGAAACAGATATTGAATTTCATACAAATCTTGATTATGAAGATCACAAAATAAGTAAAAATAATTTAATTAATAAAGTTTATAGTTTAACATTAAGACAATATCCATGGATATCAATTCCCAATAGTAAATTTAGTTAGAGTCTAAAAAATTGCTCATAATTATCTGAGATCTTATAACAATTAATTAACAATGATGCTTCATCAAATATAATATATATAGGATTATACAATAACAATAGCTTATAAACTACATTTAATTTTAGTATTGTAACAACTTCATATGATGATTAAGATGAAGCTCAAAGAAATAAATTGATTCTTATAATAGTGGGATCAGTAGTTGGTGTCTTATTATTATTATCTTTTTTCTTAAGTATTTTTAATAATTAAAGATTGCAATAAAATGTAGAACATATAGAAAATGTTGAATAGAATTTAGAGTAATAATAAATTGCATATAAGTCTCCTACAGGTATTATATAATTCATATTAAGGCTTTTCTAAGCAATTCATTAAAGAATATTTTGGCCCAATTAATCTTTAGATTGTTATGAAATCTTATCCTGGGCTTTCATAATTTGAAGATTGTGTTATTTGTCTAGAATCTTTAAAAAACGATATAAACTAAGAAATGAAGTTTTGTTCAGTCACTCCATGTTTTCATATTTTCCATTAATAATGTCTTAGCTCTTGGTTATAAAAATAGCGAAATTGTCCATTCTGTAGATGCGAATTTAATAGAATTTATATTCAAAATAAATATCCTTGGATAGAATTAACTAAAGAAAAGAGTAAAAGGGATTAAGAGTAGGATTCTTAATATCTATAAAGATTGAAACATACTTAAAATACAGATTAATCACAAGATATTCAATTAAATGAAAGTTAGCAAGATCTTGTATAACCAAAAAATAGACCAATAGTTGATGGTTGATATTAACTTATAAAATTAGAAAAATAAACTTTTTATATATAGTTTAATTTTAAAAAATAGTAGATGAAAATGATATGAAAAATATTTATTATAACATTTTCTAAAAGTATAAAGAAACCATTAAGAATTAACCACTTGTATTATGTTTTAATTTTATTAGGATTTGCTGAATTATTAACATTTTCTAATAGTTCTTATTTAATTCTAATAATTATAATTACAAGAAAATTAACAATACAAATAATTAAGTAATCAAAACAATTTAATAATAATTTATTATTATTTTTGTAATTTAAAACTTGTAATACATCTTATTTCGTATTCTAAATCTATATTTTTTGCTTTAATAAAAATATTATTTTGCATTAGAATATAAGTTTAAGGAGTAAAAAATATTAAAATCATTTATGAAGATATTCATTTTTTATTGATTGAACAACCTGGATCCAATTAATAGGTTTTGCTTCAGCATCCTTAAATTTATAAAAAAACGATGAAGATTCTAAAATCTTATAATTTCTAAACTTGGTACATAATGAACACCATCTTTTGATATCTTTATTGTATCGTCAATAGGTAAATATTTTTTGTCTCCTTTAATAAAATCAATCAATAAACAGGGAGGCTTTAAATATCCAAAAAGTATTGCTATTTATGGAATACAAAACCATCTGTTTGTATTCAAATAAATAAAACCAACACATTTGTCGAAATGTTTAAATACTGAATTACAATTAGATTCTGTTGGGGATTGAGTTCGTTCTGTTTTAAATATTTGAAATTTAGGAGAACACTATATTTTTTATGGTCTTATTAATCCATTAGGAATGGGTGTTACAACTTCATATAACTCTTCCATTATTGTTTTTAATCTATCTTATTTTTTATTAAATAATTCTTATTTCATCTAAATATTTGCAGGTGTAAACTCCCATAAAATACTTGATTTACTTTAACTTGGAATAATTTCTTAAAAAAATCCCTAATATTCATATGGAATCTCTAGTTAATTTTACCAAGGAATATAGTCTTACTTAATATCCTGAAAATATTAATGTTAAATTATCATTTTTGAATCTTCATATCCTAATCTTTCAGATGGATTCAATGCTAATAGAGATTTAATTAGATCTTAAGCAGGTTCTGGGATTGAATCATCTAATTAATAATTGTTAGTTAAGATATTATTAAAAATAGCATTTTCACTAATATCGGTAAAAGGCTATTTTCCATGATAAAACTAGATAAATTTTAAGTTATACTTCATACACTATACAACCAAGAGCCCATAAATCAGCCTCTTTAGATGCTTTACTATTACTGAGCATTTCAGGTGAGATATATTCTGGTGTCCCAACAAAATTTGATCTATATTAAGTTGATTCCCTTTCAATTTTCTTAATAGATTTACCATAACTCTACTAAAGTTTCTTAATTTAATCTATTAAGTCTGAAGGTTATTTATTTTCTTCAAAAAAAAAACATGTTGCAAAATCAGTCAATTTTAAGTTGTAATTTTTATCTATTAATATATTTTTGGGTTTTAAATCTAAATGAGCTATACCTTCACTATGCAAAAAAATTATGGCTTAAGTTATTTGATAAATGTAAACTTTAATGAAATATTCAAGTTCTTCAATTCTAGTATTTCTGTAAAATTAATAAACATCATAAATGATATTTCCTAAATCTCCAAAAGGACAATGTTCACTTACAAAGTAGAGATATTATTTGTCTTAAAAGCTTCCAATAAATTCAACTATGCCTAAAGTTTATATTTAAATTATACTCGGATGTTTTTGTGAATACTACTTCATCATATATCTTTCAATATAAATCTCTGATTATTTGTTTGATAAAGTTATTGATTCCTTATAAATCTTTTTTATGGCTACTTTACGATTATTTTTTAAGTATATAGCCTCATAAACTTCAGAATAAGAACCTTAACTATTATTCAAAAATATACCTTCTCCAATAAGACCTACAATATAAAAGCTTTTGATGTTCATCTTCTTTTCTTTTTAAAGTTAATTCGTTATTTAAAGTCCTTTCATAACAAAAAATTAAATTTATTATAAAACTATGATACATATATGTTAATCAATTACATTAATATATTTATTTATCGAACTTTCTTAATTTCCATTTATTAATATATAAGAAGAAAATATTGAAAAAAAATAATTTTTAAGAATTAATTTCTTTTCTTACATTTTGTTAATCAACACACACCTGAAATAATAATTTTTATGTTCTTATCTATTTCATAGTTGCAATAGTTGTTAATTTTAAAAAAATGAGGAATTAATTAATATTAACTTATTAGAAATTTGTAGTCTTTATAATTTAATTTTAATTCTAAAATATAGGTATATATTCTTTAAAATATAAAAATTATTAAATTATATTAATATATTATTCTCTAAATTTAATCAATCTTATGGAGCCTCTATGGGTTGTTAATCTGTTATATTTGCTTTAAAGAACTCGTTGTCTACTTTTTGATTTCTGGCAGCCATTAGCTTAGCCAATTTAAGCTTCTTATAGTAAAGAAGTGCAGCAATTAACAATGAAACACCAACAACAGAACAAACTACAGCTACAACAATAGTAACTGTTGCAGAATTGTTTTCAGATTTCTTAATGGATTTTTAGATGGTTCCTGGATTAGTAGAATTGTTATTTCCATTATTTGAAGTGTCTTATTAATTTACTCCTTCATCAGTTACTAATACCAAATCATCATCATTATTTGAATTACCATTTCCATTATTATTGTTATTATTATTATTACCATTATTATTGCCATTATTATTACCACTATTATTATTATTGCCATTATTATTACCATTAGTATTTGTATTGCCTCCTGGAACTAAAATAATTTCTAAAAAATATAAATTATAATAATACCTGATGTTTATTCAGTGCTCTTGAAATTAAGTTCAGAAATTGAAGAAATGGTAGTGGATTCATGTTTGATACCAACAACTCCTAATTATTACAACTCTTCTGAAATTCCTAATGATTCTAATTTACTAGCCATTTCAGCTAATCTTGATTAAGATTATTTGCCTTCAGAAGTACCAATTTCTGCAGAATCTGCAATACCCCAATCAATAACAACAGACTCAACTGCAGATTCTTCCAAAAATCTTCTTCTGTATTTCTTGGTTCCAATAATGAAATAGTTATAAGGATCTCCTCCTAATTGTGCTCTTGCATATTATAGGAATTTATCACCAAAGAATTCTGATGATTTAATTTCAAGTCTTGTTGAAACTTAAAGTGTATTCTTCAATGCTATTCTAATCTTGCAATCCAATTTACCTGTCAAAACAAAATGAATGGTTCTATTTTCAAAGTAGTAATTATTGGCACCACATTAATTAGTCATTGTCATGAGATCATGATGTTTATTATGAGTTGTAAGTCCAGGTTAAATAACTTTATTATTGACCATGACTTAAATAATTTATGGAACAGAGAATTACCATTTCAAAATAACCCAATCTTCTGGACTACCTGCTTCTGATCTCTTTGATAACCAATATTCAGATGTAGTTGGATTCATACCAGCATTTGTCATATTAATAACTGTATTTACTGTTACTAAACCAACAAATTTAGATTCTCTCAAATTTAATGGTTCAGGACCATCCCAACTCCACTCAGCATAACTATTAATTTCATTAAAGAATAATCCATCTGTCAATTTTATTGGTGAATATAATCTCTTATTAAAATCTGCAGCAGTACTCATAAACATTAATACAGTAGCTTATCTGCCTGGACACCAATATCCATTCCAAGATTCTTATCTTGAACAATAAGTTACATTTGGTCCAAAGTATGTGTTATTACCAATACCTTATCCAATTTCTCCAAAGAAATGACCAGTTTAATCTTCAACCAAAAAGTTTATTTATCCTGTACATTCAAATGAACCACATCCTCCAAACCATCCTATTTTACTATAATTTGGATTTCTAGTTTTGTATAATAAAGCACTAAATTCACAATTGGTGCATGGAGAATTTACTAAAAAGTGTTATCCTGTCATATCATGTGCTCCATGATGTTATCTGAAAGCAGCATTATTCTAACATCTTGGTATATTATCATAAGTTAATCTAAAGTTATGGAATTCAACATTTGATAAGTAAACTCTGAGATCAACTCTTTAAATTGTACAAATTGTATCAAATGCAGAAGAAGGCTTAGATGAAATAGGAGGGAATGCTGATGAAGTTAAAGTACCCATTTAAATACCCATACTACCTCTACAATTAGGATTAAGAGATGCAGAATAGCATTTCACACATTCAGGTCTAGCCAAAGCTGAAATGAATATATTATTTAGCTTCATTTTATTATCTTATATGCTATTTGGAGCAGGTTTCAAAGCTATACCTCTATCATTTTCAACTACTATTGATTTCTCAAGTTAAATTTATTCACTGTAAACAGCATACATTATACCAACTTCACTATGATGAGCATATAATCCTGATATATATGAGCATTAACCTTCTGGATCTTATCTGACACCAAAACAAGCTAATACTGTTCCTGAACAATGATTGTTATAGAATGATGATTAATATGAATCAGAGCATTTACTTGCCATAACAAAGAAACCAGTATCTTAAGAACCTTATCCAACATTTCCAGATACATCAACAATATCCCTTGTCATTTAAGTTGGTGTTAATTCATCCATGTAAACAAAGTTACCAAATACTGCCCAATTTGCAATACCACCATCTGATAATACCCTCTTTTTAACATAGATCAATGCATTATTCTAGAATTTCACAAATTAACTGTTATTAATCTATACCAAAGCTTTGATACCATTAAAGAATATGTTATTCTTAATTGTAATATATTATGAATCTTAAACTGTCATTAACATACCTGTAGTATCATGGAATGAACATCCTACAACTTCACTTGGAGTCTTAATAATATCACTATTTAGATTTCTAAAATCTAATCCACTTCTTTGTGTATCATATTGACCACAATTATTAAATTCAACACCATGTAAAACAGCGTATCCTCTTCTTGGGAATCCTAAATTAGCTTCAGGTTCTTCAAATTAATAAATTAAAACTCTGCATCCTAAACCATGAATACTAGGTCCTCCTTCAATCTTAATCTTTCTAGTTAAATGTCCAACAACAGCTCTCATATCTAATTGACCAATTCCAGGCTTATCAATAGTTACAGAAGGAGCTCCATAATGATCAAATTCAAGAGCTTAATTTAAAGTTATAACACATCCAGAAATAGATGCAATAGATCTCTTTTCTCTTTATTCTGGGTCACTACCTGAAGGACCAAATACTATTTCATCACCAACAGCCCATCCAGCACATTCAGCAACAGTAACAGTTGTTGCACCAGCATCTGCATAAACAACCAATCTAGTCCATACTGTTCCAGGTGGAGTTGAATATAATTCCATAGCTCTAGTAACAGCAAGTACTTTATTTCCAACATCTAAATTAGCATCAATTACTAATGGATTATCTCCAAATTCACCATTTAATACAATATTAATCTTTCCAGGGAATGGATGAGTTGAATTACCAGCTAATAGTTTTCCTGTTCTAACCCAGATTCTCTCTGCTTCTAATTTAGTGGATGCTTTTCTCTCATCAAAAATAAGTGATCCCAAAATAGTTAAATTAACAAGTTTAGGTGGATCAACATCTAAGATAACTTGATATCCTCCTTATACAATTGGACTATCTCCTTCGACTGGTACTTTGTTATCTATCCAAGTAGTAGGATCACTCCAATATCTATATCCATCTTCTAATGGTACATCTCCCAAACTATCGCATTCTTCTCTGCAAATAACTCCTCTGACTTCAACATATTCATATTACTTCTTATTCTTACCAGATAGGCAAAGGAAGAACAATTTATTTGTTCTATCATTAAACCAATCACCCTAATTACATGTTTTAGTATCTGGAATTTATTCTAATTTTGTGTAATTAACTGGGAATTATCCTCCTATGTTTCTCATGATATCAAATGTTTCTCTATTAGCTGAATAATTGAATCTAAGAATAACAGCATCATCTGCTTAATTAAAGTATGGGGATGCAAAGATACCCATACTTAATGGATCACTTGCTCCGAATTTGAAATGAACATTATAAGTAAAACCTGTAGCAAATACACTTGCAAATGATTATTTAACATCTCTACTCTTCTTTATAATTTTCATGGTTTCAGCTTCTATATATTTACTTTCATCAATTGAAGCATCCATTTTGAGTGCAATATTAGTGTTGTCTAATCTAAAGAGCTTCATATCAGTTCCTGTGAAATCTTGAGTAGGAGTAGGATTATTGACCAAAACATCCCTTATTGTAACTTAATTCATAGCACAAATAATAGAATTATCCCAATAATCTTCTGGATGATTAACACATCCTGGAATTCCATCAATATGCTTCTTATATGGTATAATATAAGCTCCTCCAGTCACTCCTGAAATAGAACCATCTTAATCCCAAAAGATTTCTCTTCTATGTTTCTACCAATAAATACGATTAGCTGAATCAGAATTAAATACTTTGATATTTAAGAATTAAGTGTTTTTACCTCCTTATACCCATAATTTCATATTCCAACATACAGAGCATGATTCAATTATAGCAGAATTACTTCCATAATTATATATTCTAATATTTTTAGCTAAAAATCCATTTGTTCTTGGTACAACCATAGCTCTTGATCCATCATAATAAGTATCATCAGGATTTGCATTATTAATAGATTTACCTATAATTAATGCATTATCTAAAACTGCTCCTTCAGCTGAGTAATTACCTTTGTGAGCTTAGAAACCAGCAAATTTGGAATCAGCAATCATAATATCCTTGAAATAAATGTTACCCAATTCTTCTCCTAAAATACCACATTCATTATTTTTCCAAGTATAGAATTTTTCAAAGACTGCTTAAAGACTTGGATTGTCAATAAATGGTTAATCATTAGCCCAATTATTTGGATCAATACAAGGGAATTT